GCCACCACCACCTGCCCTTCCACCTGAATTTCCACATGCTTCGCTAGTACCGCCCAATAAACCTGGCGCCGCCGCTGCGGCCGCCAGCACCTCTGGCAGTAGCAGGGTTTTGGAAGAGCTGCGGCAACCTGTCGGTTCCACCCCGCCACGTAGGGCCCCCTCGGAGGACGGTGACCCCGCGACGGTGAGATGCACGCGAGTGACGGCTCCCGGAGCCCCGACAACCATAAACGAATCTCCGGCAGTAGCAGCGATAGCAGCGCCAGCAGGTACTGCTGTTGCTACTGCTGCCTCAGCCCACGGTTTGACCGCAAGCCCCCGAGCGGCCCCGGAAACCCAACACTTAGAATTGACTGACGTCAGCAACAAGACAACGCTACAGCCTTCGACCGCACCACCGTCGCCTCCGCCAGGTCTCCTGTCGTACAACGTTGCCCTGAAGGAGCTGCAGTACATACAAAAGCGCTACAGCCAAGTCTTCTCCTCGCGGGTGATACGAGAGGGGCATGCCGGCGGCGGCGGCGGCCAGCATGCGTTGCTGCTACAGCCCGGCTGCCTCACGACGTTTGAACTGGAGCTACTGCCAACCGATCTGGATTGGGACTTGCCGCCGGTTCGCGTGGTGGGGCAGCTACTGCCTGTGTGTACGACAGCGTACCTGCCGTCGCTGGGAGTGCACCTGGCAAGCCGGTTGCCGCCGTGGCTTCGTGCGGCGCTTGAGGAGCACATGGCGCAGCAGCTCGCAGCGCAGGCCGTGGCGGCGGTGGCGGCGGCATCGACGGCGGCGGCGGCGGCAGCAGAGCCCCGAGCTGATGCTGCTGCGGCGGCGGCGCCCGCTTCGGCGGTTGGCACTACGGCAGGCGGTCGTGGTCATGGTCGTGGAGGGTTTCGGGGTCGCGGCGGCGGCGGACGCAGCGGAGGCGGTGGAGACGCGGAGCAGCGGCAGCAGGAGCAGGAGGTGGCGCCAGATGGAACGGTGTTGCTGCCGCTGGGCGCGCTCCGAAACCTATTTCGCGACGTGGAGAATTACGCAGGTGAGCGAGCTTTTAAAAAATAAAACATTTCATAATGATTTGTTCTGTTCTATTTAGATCTATTTGCGTAAATTCACTTCCTCAACCAGAAAAAAACGAAAGTCGAAAAAAACGAAAGTCGAAAGCCAGTTTTTGTTTGTGGGCCTTCCTGGACGAGAATTCCAAGCCAATATGGGTGGGCATGCTGCATCGGCAGCAGTGTCCTATCTAGGAATCGCATGGCATCTGCTGGATCCAACAAATCAAGAGGAGCCGCCGGTGGATCCAATTTTCCGGATCTGATGAATTTCACAGTTACATAATCTTTTGACTTCAGCAAAGAGCTCGATGGACAAGGGGTGCTAGAGAGGCAGGAATTAGGGAAACAGAATAAAGCGCAAGGAAAGGATGGTTAAATAATACGATCTCATCGACGAGCTTTATGAATTATTAAATCAGGAAAGCCGACAAGAGAAAGAAGAAAGCGCCAGAGGGATGCAAACGTCTGTTGCCGGTGCTGATGGAGCGGTGCTTGTAGGTTTTCTCTTTGGATGTAGCCTATCTATTAAGCGTACATAATATATAGCCTATGTAGTCTATCTATAATATATATATATACATGTGTATATATATAATATACATATAAAAAATATATATTATATATTTATATTATATACTATTATTATTTATTATTATTTATATATGTATAAAAAATATACATATGTACGTGTTTTTATATTTTTTAACATAGTCTAGTATGTATTGTATATATAGTGACGTGGCTTACGGTGGTGGGGATCACTGCGGTGTTAGCTAAATGTCTTGGAAATCTTTTGCTCCCCCTTCTTCCTTTTTCTTCCCCTTCTTTCCCGTTCTTCCCCCACCCCTTAGTCCCCGAAATTCTCAAACGTTCGCCGGTGGCTCACACGACCCACATTGCCTATTTAGGTGCTGTGGCGCGTGCGGCGGACGAGCAACGTCGTCAAAGGGACCATCAGGCCGCAGCCGCTGTTGATGGCGGCGGCGGGGACGGCGGTGGCGGCGGGGACGGCGGAGTTTTGCGGTACGATGATGACGGGTACGGCGACGGCAGCCACAGGCGGCGGAACGGCGGCGGTGGTGCAGCCACAGGCGCTGACGAGGTTCGCATAAGCCGTTACGGATCAAATGGATCCCAGGATCCGGCCGCGTGTCTGTCTGAAATAGAAGGGGTGGTTATGAAATTGGAAAAGCATTGATACGGCAGGAAGTTGCTGAGTACAGCAGTACCGGGCTGGTAATGGAGCGTGTACGTCAGGTCCGTATAGCATGTGCTGCCCTATAAGCCCACATAACACTTTTTATTAGCTTGAAATCCCCTGATGTCGCGTATCTAAAACATTTCAGTGCGTTGTATTTTCTGATGATAATAATATTATAATAATAATAATATAGTAATAATAATAAAATGATATTATATTGATATTTATTTATGGAATAATAATATTATATTTGTATTGATAATACACAATAATTTTGCTCATATGCTAAGGCGGCATGTTTTACTCTATAAAAACAGGACGCGGACGAGTACGACAATGACAGTAGTTGCGGCAGCAGGGACGACGACAATGACGATGGCGACGGCGACGAAGATACGACGGCCGCAGATGAGGTCGGCTTCAGCGGTACGGCAGCGGCAGGAGGCGCCGCCGGCGCCAGCGCCAGCGCACCAGACACGCCCGCGGCATATGCCGTACTGCTTGAGGTGGGGATAGGGAATGCTTTGGGTCGGCAAGGAGCTAAGGTGCCGATGGTGGAGCAACAGCTGTCCAGCCTCGATGCGTTGATGAGGCCCGCTAGCCGCCCTCAGCCACGGTCTCTTCTCACCGCAGTCACCAACAAACCTCTCCTCTTGCCGCCTGCAGGGTCTCGAACTCGACAACCTTGCGGCGGTTGAGGTGTTGAGAGCCAATTTCGAGGTGGGCTTCGCATGCGGTGTTGTGCAGGATTGGCGGCGGTGGTGCAGTGCGTGGACGACTCTGTGGGGGTTGGGTGGGTGGGTGGGTGGGTGGGATATGATGGGGCATGGACTATGCCCCCCCTGAAATCTATGTGGACGTGGTGAGCTGAAGTGAATTGAAGTATAGAAGAGCCCTCGAGCAGAAAAGCGTTTTTTCCCCTGTGCTGGGGTTTTTTGGGGGTTTTAGATTTTTAAGGGTTTTAAGGGTTTTCTTTTAGCCCGGAGCTCCAACCAAACCAAGGATTAGGCTGAATTCTCGAACTTGACCTGACCCTGTTATTGGGCTGGTGAATCAGGGACCCCAGACCGAGCGGGTTTTTATTCCCCAGGATGATCGCCATTGCATCGCGTGTAGATGTCCTGTAGGCGGTGCGGGGCGCGCGACACGGTTTCTATAGCCTCATCGGCAGTAGCTGGGGGCGGCGGCGGCGGCGGCGGCGGCAGCAGCAGCCATCAGGCGGCGGCGGCCGGCCGCTGCCAGCGATGTAACGCTGCTTGGTCGTTGGTGATGCGGCCGCATTTCCTGCACGCCACTTCCAACAGCCTCTGCATCATCAAGCCCGAGGTACGGCAACCACTGTGTACGGCTGCAGTAAGCTCTATTACCGTAGCTACGTTCGGATTGTGGCCTCATCAAAAACTGCGCTCTGCCGTCTTTTGATATTCCCAATCTATGTCTTACCATGCCGTATAATGTCGTACACTGTAGTACTGTGTCGTACCGTGTATATATATGTGCAGGGCTGTCAACCGGTGGACCTTCTTCCCAGCCTCATGGCAGGCCAGTGTAGCGAGTGCAGCGCTGTGATGAGTCTTAGAGATGTGCAGGTAGGGGTGTGTGGTTGGCTGGATGGATGCGTGATCTGGGTGGGTGGGTAGGTAGGTGGATGGGTAGGTAGGTGGGTAGGTAGGTGGATGGGTAGGTAGGTGGGTAGGTAGGTGGGTAGTTAGGTGGGTAGGTAGGTAGGTAGGGCTAAGGATGTACGTGTGGGCGATGTGTTACAAAGAAAATTCTTCGCTTTTTGTCGTCTCAGAAACCCATGACACGCCTCAACATATTCATGCTCAGACTATGACGATGACTGCGACGACGACTCCGACAATTGACACGCACTCACGTAGTGAAGCCCCACACGGCACACCGCTCCGCATCTCTCCCTCTCCCCCTCCGCCCGAATGTTCGCGACAGGTGGGGTTGCCCTTCAGCCGCCACTGCAGCAGCTGCCACAAGGAACTAGCGCTCTCAATGGCGGCTGTCTCGTTCGTACCCAGGGGCGCGCGGGGCGGCGGCGCCGGCGCCTCCACCGGCCGCCGCCACCGGGGCTCTGTCGCCGCTACGCAGCGGCAGCCGTCTCGAGCAGGCGCCGGCGCCGGCGCCGGCGCCGCCGCCAGCCTCCAGCCTGGTCAACCTCTCCCTGCACTTGGCACTTGCAAGCATTACCGCCACTCGTACCGCTGGCTGCGTTTCCCTTGCTGTGGTGGGTTGGCTGAGGGATGATGGTGGGCGATGCTTATGAATGAAGGCGATGTACATGTACATACGACATGCCACATGCGAGCCATGTTGCCACATGTGGCCGTTATTCTTTGCTTGAAAAATGTGCTTGGGAATATTCAGGGGCTAGACTTGAGAGGTGATTCGTGGTCAGTGATGGTTTGGGGGTGTTGAGAGAGCAATGCCCCAAGCAGCAGGGGCGAATGCCCCCATCCGAGAGCCGCCTTTCCTACCCCCGGAGTACAGTCTGTCTCTAGCATCTACTTTAATCGTCTGTGGTTCCCGCGTGTCTTCCAATTGCGCAAACCCCTTCCAATTGCGCAATCAGGCATGCGTTTCCCCTGCGACCTTTGCCACGAGGAGGCGGTGCCGGACGGGCATCCAGTTCGCTGGGCCCACCGGATGGCGTGTGGCTTCTGCTCGACAGAACAGCCGCTGGCGCTGGCGTGTCGCGCGTGTGGTCGGCAGCTGGCGGGCTCCGGGGCCAATCCTAGCGGTGAGTGTGACGGCCCTGTGGGGGGGGGGGGCTGCTGCCGCGGCTGTTATCTCCTCCCAGCCACACTCTGTTCATCGATCTTCTGTACGCATGTCTATCTTTTTGCCGGTCTATCCAGTCTGTCTGTCCGTCTGTCTGCCCGTCTGTCAATAAGTACGTACCTATCTGCTGACTAATCTGTTTGTCTATTTGTATATATATCTCTGTGCTCTTCAAGTCCTTGGCGCGGCGGCCTCCGTCCTGTCTCATCCTCCTCCGCAGGCCGGCGAACTCGTTTCTGGGAGGGTGGCACAGGCTGCCGCGACCCCAGCCGTCTCAACAAGAACGATCCCCACAAGTGGCGAGGTCGCAATAAGACAACATCCGCCAAACAGTCCAGGGTGGGTCCTAAACTCTGGAGCGGCAGAGGTGGCGCCGGCGGTGCCGGTGGCGGCGGATCGGGATCTGGTTGACGCTGTTTGGATACTATGGCGATTGCAAAGCCCCCACGGCGAAAATGGCCCCGATGGCTCTTAGATCCTGAGGAAGGGTTGTTGTATATTGTATTCCTAAAGACGTTTTCGAGGGGATATTGGGGCGGTGGCGATGGCGGTGGCGATGTTGTGGGGGCCGTACGACGGCTGTTTCGGTGCGGTCATGATGCCGCGAAGCCCTGGGGGGACAACAGGCAGGCGCGCGGCTGTTTTTTTTAAAGGGAGATGACGTTTTGGCCCCGCAGCTGTGGTGCATATCGAGAATTCGTCGCCTTTGTAAAGTTAAGATTTGGTTGATGCGCTCCGGTTGATGCGCTCCGTGAGGTCTCTGCGATGCGCTCCGTTGTCATACGTAACGCCCCCCCGTTCGGCGCATAGCTACCGAGATGCTAGGAAAAGTATTTTCCGCTCTCTTCAGGTATTGTAACTGTGACGTGCAAGAGCAGCTAGGTATCTCTTGAATATTGTGTGATATCTATATCAATGGTGGCTGTTTCCAAGACTTTTCCGCTTAGTTCGTCGTACAATAAATAGTACGGGTCGTACATCGGATGGCTACAACTTCTCTGGTGTATCGCATTCGGTTTCTGTAGACACCACCTTGACTTGTCGTAATGGTAAAAACGTTGCAGCAACAAGAAGTCTCCTGAATCTCCTGCTCATGCATCTTAAAATGAAGTCGTCATGATTTGGATGGGGACAGCGGTGCCTTTTGGGCGGTAAGAACCATCCGCTTTCGTTGCCGTTGGAACCGCCAGTTGGAACCGTTATCGAAGACTATGAAGCTATGAACACTTCAACAAGTTGCATTTCTTGCATTTAGACATGTGCAGGTGAACGGTCTTATGTTCCGTTGTTAGCGCTTTCAGCTCAATATAATTACCTGAACTGTCATTGCCTTGAAACCTCAAAATTCCCTGAGATTCGATAGGGCCTTAGGCTGCCGCGTCATTCCCGTTTTGCACAAAAATGCCATAAATTCTCCTTCCTCTTCCCCCAAAAACGAGCGAGCGGCACACGCAAAAAGGACAGCCCCACTCGCCTACTCCTTTCTCCCTTCCCAGCGCGGCCAAGGGAAGCCTGCTCCATTGCCGTACATCCTGCCACCCACAGCGAAAATAGCCAAACGTTATGCTATAACCCCTGACCATCCGCCCCGCACCATCGACAGAAGAAGAAGAAGAACGTCTAGAAGACGCCAACAGACACGAAGGACAGAGGCGGATTGCGCTTGGCCCATACGCTGGGCGCTCAAGGCCCCCACCTCCAATAATGGCAATCAGGGCAATTACCAAGGCTGGCGGCGTTGCCCTAAAGAGACCCTTTAAATCGCCCTTTATTATTAAACCCTGAATGTCACACCCAATGGAAACGTGCTTAGCACATGCACACTCTATACCCGCGCTTAGAAAACAGATAGACCCAAACGGCGCCCCCCCCACACACACGTAAGGGTGTTCCCAGGACTCATGCATGCTCCAAGTCCGATTATTTGGGGGCCCCGGATTGACTCGTCTCCTATGACGTCGGACTCGTCTTACTTGGCAAGACGGCTTTATGCCTGTGTGAGAATCTGGTTGAACATGCCCCCTGACCGCCCACACCCCACCTACAGCACGGTCGTTTTGCGCCGCACAAAAAGAAACGGGCCACCCCTCTCCGCGCCGTCTTCGCGTCCCCCGTGCCGCTGGCACTTGCCATCTACACTATCCACCGTCGTGCGATTCGTCCCCCTAACAAAATGCTGCCGCTGCTGCTCTGCCCATGCACCCAAGGAACAGAACATGCGAGAACAGAACAACGTATACGACGACTACGACGCGACAGATCGCCCTTAGATCTTCTCCAGGGACCGTCCCCGGATGTCCAGATATATGATAACCTTCAAAGCCAGGGAACGCAACAGGAGGTAGCAAAGAGGCAAAACCACATTGTGGATAACTACAAAGGTGTCGCCGCCCACACGCAGCGCAGCTCTACGTGCTGCCCCGCTTTCCGAAGGCTCCTGTGAACAAGCCAGATGGGCGCAGCAGACACCCGCAGACAAACCACACATTACACTGTCCCGTCCACACACACCCCGTGGCTCCGATGCCGCGTTACAGGCCCCCCTCGGATTTGCTGCAGTCGCTATGGATAGAGCTGGGTTCGCCTGATCGAATCCCCCTGGGGACAAATAAAACGTCGGCCATAAACGCTGCGTGGCAACAGGGGCATAAAGCGCGCTGTGCATGTGTGTTCTTGCGCGGTCTTGTATGCATATGCCCCTGCGAATGCGTGTTTACGGGGGACACATCCCTCGCCCCGAAACCGCCCGACTCTCCCTGCAAGCATATAACTCATGTTGTCGTGTATGAGACACGTACGCCATGAAAAGAAAAGCGGAGCCTGCTTCCATTTGACTGGCAAAGGACTCAACTCCAGGTAGGCTCTCCTTTTCTCTCTATCGCTGCTGCACAAAATAAGCTAAAGGGGCTTTCATAACCTTGGAACCAGGACTAAATTGCCCCTGGCCATGAAGCCAAGACGCACAATGGACAGGCCCCGACGCTATCTAGGGTCCGATGCTGTCACAGATGTGCACAGCACGCCCACCCACCTACCCAGGCAGCGGCAACAGCGAACCCTTTCAGCCTTCGACGTTGGCCCCTGATAAGACTAAAGACGCCACTCGCGCCACCGCAACCACCGTGCTCTCTCCCTGCCTCCACCTTGCCCTCTCCCTGCACTCCGCTGTCCCGCTCAGGTCGACCGCGACTTCTGACAGCCCCACTGGTGACAACAGGCACCGTACGCATCGCGCTTCTGGCGCTTTCCCCCCCCCTTCCTCGCACAGATCCGAAAGTAAAAGTAAAGCGGGCGTTTCTTTTTTTCATACCACCACATCATACCACCTCATCATACCACCTCCCGCAAATCGCAGGGACGAGAGCTGCCGCGTAGACACCATGCAGACCATCGGACCTCGGACCTTGGCGTCTGCCTGCCTTGGCGAGCTGACCCGGGGCCCGACCCCCCCTCTGCCTCGTCTGGTACACTCTTGCCCTGGCAGCAGCTTCACTCGTTTGTGGTTCGTCTTTCCCCCCCTCTGCCTCCAAGTCCGAACGCACAGATGGGATCATCAACCTCCAGTCGCAATCAAGGCTGTGAGCATCCAGACAGACAGGTAGGTAAAGTTGGTTAGCCAGCCCGGCGAACACCCGATCAGCAGCAGCAGCAGCTAACCAGGCGGGCAGGCGGTCGGCTAGTCGTTCCATGCTACCATGGGAAGGTATCCGTAGTGCACGTACCGACCCCGGTAGTTGGTGACCGGCGACAAGGTAGAGCCAACCCAACTGGTCACGTCGCCGTCACCCTGCACATTGAGCACCGAGCTGGGGGAGAGGGCCCAGAGGATGGCCTCCGTCCCGTCCCAGCTTCAGGCGACGGTCGCTCACGGCCCCTAGCCACCGTGTCAATGCCCTATCATCCGCCAGCCAACTAAGGTCATGCCGACATGCCGTGTGCCGTGTCTCCTGTCCACGGAGCCCACCAGCCAGGCCACAACAGACACCCAGCCCAGCCATCCAGCCAGCGCGGCCATTGGCCGCCAGCCAGCCAGCCAGCCAGTACAGCAGCCCCTCAGTAATGGGTGTTTCCGAACATCAGACCGGTGCCTGCCAGCCCAGGCATCACTACAGGGAGGGGGGGTTTGCAGAACGGGCGCGGGAATCGTGTCAGGACACAGGAAGGAAAAGGTCAAGTGCCGACGCGTCTAAGCCGCCAACTGAAGACAAGCCTGACGGAAGGCGGAGTAAGGCCGTCGAGGACAGGAGGAAAGGGGACTGGTGGGCTCGGACTGGACGGGTCCGTCAGACGGCAAAAACGTGTGTGTGTGTGCGTGCGTGCGTGTCACACCTTATGGAGTTGCACACACACACATTCTCCCCCTCCCCCTCCCTCCCCCTCCCCCTCTCTCTCTCTCTCTCTCTCTCTCTCTCTCTCTCTCTCTCTTTCACACACGCACACACACACACACACACAGCGCGCGGGTCAGCAAAGCCAGCAGCCCGGCCTTACACACATAGGCCGTCCTGGGGTGCGACCCATGCCAGTGTCCAAGCCAACCTACCGAAGGCCGCGTGGGTGTGCGGTGGGCCAGGTGGGCCCATCCCGGGCGGCGGCATCCCCAGGAGTCGACCCGGAACGCCGCCGCCGCCAGCTCCGCCACCGCCAGTAGCGCCTACGGTGCTGCCCGCGCGAGGAGAGCGGTAGAAGGCGCCGTCCTGTGTTACCGAAGCCGGGGAGGAACCCCAGAGGAGCCCCAGAGAGGCGGCGGACAGCGGGCAGGTCAGCAGCGGGTTGTCACAGAGAGAGAGGATGACGACAATGCTGCTGCTGCTGCTGATGCTGATGAGAATGATGCTGATGCTGATGAGAATGATGATGATGCTGATGAGAATGATGCTGATGAGAATGATGATGATGCTGATGAGAATGATGATGATGCTGATGAGAATGATGATAATGCTGATGAGAATGATGCTGATGAGAATGATGATGATGCTGATGAGAATGATGATGATGAGAATGCTGAGGAGAATGAGGAGGATGCAGAAACAGGTCATTGCTGACACCACAACCCCCGACTGCTGCGGTCCAAAGCAACGACGCAACTGCCGGCAGCTCCCAGGGGGACGGGGGATGATGTCTCACAGCAGAGGGGCGCAGAAGGCAGGCTTCAATTCAACACATGCCTTGTATAAGGAAGCACTAGGTCCGAAAGCGAAAATGCCTCCTCACCTACAAAAAAAAGAATAAAATAATGCGTTTGACCTTACTTCCCCATCGTCCCCTTCTATGGCAATCAGCAGCTGCAGCCACTGCAACCCCTCCCACCATTACTACTACTGCTGCTGTTCTCTCCATCCCCACTTCCGAAAAGCTCCGTGTTGAGCTTTGAGCCCTTGCACCGCTCCTCGCTGACCAACCACATGTTAGTTTTGGTTTTGTTAAGGTTTTGCTTTGTTAGGGTTTTGAAGGAAAGGGAACGCACACTCGCACCCACCTGACGCTGCGCAAAGAGCTCGGGATGGGCCATCATAAAGCCGCAGGGGTTTCCGTACACATGGGCAAGATCCCGTACCCATTGCAGCGGCGCCAGCGCGGCGTCCAGCGCAGCGTCCATCCGCTCGTCCCACTGTACGGCATCTGCTGGATCTGAAGGCAACAGATCCAGGATCTTGGCCTGGATCTCCTCTGGCGGCACCGGTGGTGCGCCAAAGGCCGCCATGGGGTGAGGGTGCGGCGGCGGCGGCGGGTGCGGCGGCAGGTGAAATCCCGGCGGCAGCGGCATCCCTGGCGGCGGCGGCGGCAGGAACCGGTCGCCAAAGAGGCCGCCAGCGCCTCCGGCGGCGGCGGCGGCGTTGGCAGCCTCCATAAAGCCCGCCATCTGCACCGCCGTCGCGGCGTCCATCGTACCCGGTGCCCCCGGTGGCGGATTGAATAGCGGGTGCAGCGGCGGCGGCATCTGGAAGCCGCCAGGCCCTGGCGGCGGCGGAGCAGCACCCTTGGCACCAGCGCCGCCGGGCCCTGGCGGGCCGGCTAGGCTGGCGAGGCCAATGACGCCGAAGGGCGGTACTGGGGGCCCCCCTGGAGCCACAGTACCGTCCTGCGGGGCACCAGTACCACAAAGCTTTTAGGCCGCCATTTCGCCGGAGGACAGACAATGGGGTGGGAGTGGTGTAATTACACGACGCCAAGGATCATCCCCCTCGTCCCCGCCTCTACCCTTGGCTTTCCTTGGCACCATGGAAAGCCAAGGGTAGAGGCGGGGACGAGGGGGATGATATGCGGGATTGCGGAACAAGGAAGTTGTCGTACCATCCGGTTTCTCACTTGGCAGCTCATAAAACTATGGCAAAAGAAGGCAAACACGGTAAACTGTGTAACGCGATCTTAAAGCTAGGCGATCCCCTCGCCAGCCACGAGTCGGCGGCTGTATCGACGCTGTGACGTCAACAGCACGACAAATCCTATCAGTGTACGGCACGTACGGCGAACAGGTCATCGTCGTGATCGTACACTGGGTGCACACTTACCTGGTGCAGTGGCTGACCCATGGGACCCAAGACGTGGGGCGCCTTGGGGTGGTGCCAGCTATCGCTTACTGCCTGTTGGTGTTGGTGCTGTTGGTGGTGCTGCTGCTGATGGGCTGCTGCTGCCGCAGCTGCCGCCGCCTGCTGCTGCTGTTGGTGGTGGTGCTGTTGCTCCATTGCATGTGACTCCGTTTGTGCCTTGTACGCCGCGCGCCTGAAGTACGTGCAGGGCATTTCCATGGGGCAAAGATGGCTAGTGGGTGGCGCGGTGCTTTGCCACCTCTAATTTAGTGTGTTAAGTTGAGGGCCCCTAATGTCTGGAAAGGGCCAGAGGGACGGGTCGACACACAACGTCACGACGGCATAATCACATCAGGTATGCGGGATAAAACGGCGAGCGGCATACAGACGGAGAGAGGGGGGGCCCCCTTGCGCGTGCCCATGCAACAGTGGTCATCGCGCACCAGAGACCATGACCGCACGGCCAACATCACACGCTGATTGGACTAGCTCTGGACTAGTCGTAAGTTGTAACACTGCTAAGACAGCCCTTGGCTCACCGGGCCAACGATCATCGTACCAACGGTACACTAAGAACTATTCATAAACCTTCCAATACCAAACGGTATTCAGCACTTCAAACGTTTAATTAAAGCGAACCGGACTATGCACGATTAACCAGGCTACCCATAATAGAATTATACCGTTAAAAATTGCAGCAGAAAGAAGAGAACTATTATTCCATAATTGATGACATAAATTGCAATGATGAAAGGAGGAACGACAACAAATCAATCGGTCGCGGTACTGCTTACAATGCCGCAAGTTCCTGCTCCACGGCCGACAGCTTAGAGGCCGTGGTGTCCACTCTCTGAGTGGCAGCTGACAGGTCCCGTTCCAGAGTGCTGCTGCGACGCCGAGCCTCCGCCAGCTCCGACTCCAGCTTCCGAATCTGATTACGGATGCGACAGTTGCAATTGCGGCAGTTATGGTTGCTGATTGAACGAGGTTGCGACGGTTGTCGTATAGGCACAGGATGGTGGCACTTGCGGTTGCGTGCGTCGTCCCAACTGTTGGCCACTTGGGAGCCCTTACAAACCCACAGTTGGTACGACACTCGGGACAGCCAGGATGCGTGAAAATGTACACAGGAAGAGAGCCCCAGGGCCAGACGGATGCCAAAGATAGTTACCTGAACCCATCTTCCTGAACCCATCTTCCTGAACGCATCTTTACGGAACCTGCTTCCAAGAAGCGCGTGTACGCCCTTCTATAACTCCTCTCGAGAAGGTAGACCAGGTGCCCAGACCGGCCCGGCCCGCCTGCCCGCCCCGCCCGCAGCGCCTGATATCCAAGGGGAGCATCCTCCCGGCCGACACGCTGTAACCCGTGTCATTCAAACCCTCCCCGAGGCCCCGTCCGGGTAACCCCTGGACTAGCTAAGAACATCTGGACTGTTCCTTACCTACTACCACCAGGCTCTGGACTTTAATAAAACAAAGCGCATGAAGGCTCTATGAAGCCCCCTCTATCACCCGGGCTCCATGGATGTCGTTCCCGTCGTGAACCTGACCCAGACCCAGAGCCGACACAGGGCCCTCCCCCAACGTCCGTTGGTGCCAGCCCCAGCTTCCACACGCCCATAGCGCGTTCCAGCCATTTTCAGCCAGATTTCCGAGCGCCTAATCGATATTTTTACCTACTATGAACACATCCTTTTCTTCTATCATTTCGCTAGGCTATTTTCTTTGGTAAAGTTACTATTGTGCCATCATCCTCGTCGCCAGTTCCTGCCGACGGCTCAGGTAATACAGACATACCCCATACGTCACTCCTCCTCCTCCTCCGCCCCCCACCTGCGAGTCCCGCGCTCGCAGCGCCGTGTCCTTGTCGTCGATCTGCCGCCGAGCCGCTGCCAAATGGCCGTCTCGATCCGCCAGCTGGGAAGTGAGACTCTCCACACGCTGCGATAAGCCGGAACATAAACATAAAAAAATAAAAATAAAAAATAACACAACGAACCTCAAAATGCCAACAAAAATAAAGGAACGGGAGAGTCAACGACAGAAGAGGAAACCCCAAGCGCGATGTCCATTGGCTAAAAAACGACAAGCACTTGTGCGTCATGCAGCACTACGTCTTACGGCGTTACGTACACGTCACGTTGTGTCACACAAGCAGCATTCCGCCACGTGCAGGAACACGGGGAGCAATTGAGGAGGAGGACATCGTGCATCTGACGAAACAGCAGCTTGCTAAGGCATCAAGGCCGGTATCAGCTTTTAGTAGATCAGCTTTACGAAATTAAAAACATTTTTTTACCCTCCCGGGTGTAAGCCGCAAAACCACGGTGTGCGTGAGAGGGTTCCCCGCAAGCTTTCCTCGCGCCTCGTCAGCACATGTACGGTGCTGGAACACATACAGCACCCTAGTAGGCAGCGACCCTCCACCGCAAGCCAGGGGTAGCTTTAGTGCGTCCCAACAAAACTATCCGCTTAGCAAGTATCGCTGCTTCTCAACGATGTCATCATCGCAGCCGTGGGGCATTGGCAGGCAAGTTGTGCTTCAGTAAACAGTTAAGAATATATGCAGACGAAAAACAAGTTCAAGCCGAGCTCCTCTCCTGTTGTCCACCGCTTGGCGCCTCACCCGTGCAAAACCATCCGTCCGACCAGGTCTTGGCCCCCATAGTCCACGGGAACCAACTCTACCCTCTCCAATCCATCTCAACAATTTGCGCCACACCGCCTCTTGACGCCTTCCTGAATCCCATACACCTTAGTCCCACACACACTAGACCAACACGCTTAGGGGTTGACCCGCTGGATGGGTTGACAATATCTTATCCCCTTATCCCCTTGGCCGCAACCCACCGCCCTGGCCTCCTCCAGCACCGCCGCCTGCTGCCGGTGCGTCTCCCTCGCGGCCACCTGGCGCTCCGCCTCCGTCACCAGGCCTGACAGCTCGCTAAGGATGCAGGCGTCCAGCGCGTCTCGCTGCCGCACCAGCGTGTGGAACTTGGACACCTTGTCTTTCAGGCCTACTGCCACACAGCAATGCCAGGAGCAGCGAGAGCTCAGATAGCAAAAACGAGGCGCGGTGAGAGTTTTGGGAAGGTTAAACCAGCAGACGTGGCTTCCTGACATGGCTTGCTGACACAACGGCAGCGTCAGGGGGATGGGAAATTTTTGCGGTTAGATGCGGCGACACATGGCCTGCTACCGCCGCAGCACTAAGCGCTGGGTAGGAAACGCTGCCATGTGCAGCTGTTACCCCTCTTAATTGTTCAAGCTGTAAATGTGCGTAAGGTCTTTCATTGCGGTGCCTTACAAAACCCCTAAGAAACCGGAAGCCATCAAGCCGGTACATTGATTTGATGCCAGAACCATGCACACACTTTCTTGTCAACAGCAGGCATGGGAATCGGTTATAAAGCGGCACCGAGTGGGCAGGAACACAAGTTTGCCGACTCCTCCTCCACGTCTTAATGCACAAGAACTTCTGCCAGTACTTCATCTTCAAGGAGGCATGGGGGCAAGCTGCTCTCGAGTCACATACACGAATACCAGAATTCCCCATATGTCTTGCCAAACATGAATGCATACGGTCGTCTCTGCCACAAACGCACACCTGCCTTAACGGCATGACCTGAAGCACCATTTACATCACCACCATCGATGCCGCAACCACTCACCGCCCGCGTCTGCCTGCGCAAGCAGACTGCCCTCCACCTGCTCGAGTGAGCCTCCGTGCAGGCTGCGGAAAGGCGGAGCAGCGGGGTTGAGCTGCGTGGACGATCCTCCCGTCGTAGCGCCGCTGCTGCTGGCAGTGGTAGCACCACCGGTAGCTGTCTGTGCAGATGCCATCATGTTGCCTGCCCCACCGCCGGCTGCTGTTGTGCTCGGCGCCGGGCCCTGCTGAGGCTGCTGCTGCTGGCTCTGGCTGCTTGCAGCATTGCTGCTGCCGCCAGTGTGCTGATTCGAAGGGATGCCGTTGGGCATTGTCGTGGCGGATCCGCTGGGGCTTGCGACTGCACCAGACGGTTTCGGAGCACCGGCAGGCGGCGCCACGGCGCCCAGCCCTGGTCTCGCCATAGCTGCCAGGGCCTGAGGAGGCTGCTGAGGCACAACAGGGCCATTGCTGGCAGCCGATGCAGATGCTTGACGGGCAAGCCCGCCACCCTGTGGAGTGGCTCCGAAGCCTGGCGGTGGCGGCGGTCGCTGTGTGCCCTTCGGAGTCCCAGCCCCACCTCCGGGGGAGGCCAAGCCCATGGTGTCCCTAGCGTCCCCACCGTTCACCAGGCCGCCGTTAGGGGAGGAGTGCTGCTGGGAGGGCGGCTGCAGTTGCTGTGACTGCGACTGGTGCAGCGCGGGCTGCTCGGAGGCTGACGAGCTCGCATCACTCTCTCGTGATGGTCGTCGCTGGTGACCGCCGCCGTGTTCGCGTGAGCCGCCACCGCTGCCACGCACGGCTCGGTCCCGACCACGGAGGCCGACAGCTAAACTGCTGCCGCCGAGGGCAGGGTGGTGATGGGCAGCAGCTGGCCGCTGTTGTGAAACCTGCTGGTACTGTGCAGCAGCATGGACGTGGCCGAAGTGCGAGTACGTGCCGCCGCCTCCCTACATGCAAAGAGGAGTGCAGCAAATGGATTAACAGAACATGCAATGTGCGGTGCTGCTTGCGGTTGTAGGACTTCCCCGCAGACGGTTCCATGGGGAGGTTTCGGGGAAATCTACTTTGCACAGTCGGAGAAAAAATAATTCTGGGGAGCACGGGCCGGACAGCGGGAAATACTGCCGGGTAACTTGAACGAATGAAAGTAACGCAAACTTCGCAACGCACAGAAGAAAAGGCCTTTGGTGGTGAACAGGTTGCAGTGGGCTCCGCAGCAGCTGCAGACTTCCAGCGAATAAACTGTACTGTACTTAAAAGCACATTTCGGTTATTGGTTTCTTTATAAGATGTTGTGGCTGCGATTCCAACAAACGAAGCCCGCTGCGATGCCGACACATCAGAACGCTGTAACGATGCCCAACAATGATACCTAACTAATTCAGTGAAAACAGATATACCATAATCAGAATGAGCACCAATGAAACACAATTCTTCCCCGCGTTCGCTTCCCGCCGATCTGCCATGCAAACTCCCCACATCGGTAAGCGTCGTATCAAACCAACCTGTATATCCGCCATTCCTTGCACGCAAACTTTCCCGGGAACAGCCGTCTTAAGCGGTGCCGCAGCACCGCGTACTTTCCCCTCACGATTCGGTGTCAAGGACTGTCCTAACAAACACCGTGATAAGAGGAGAGCCCTCGATCAGCCTGAGCCGTAGGCTGTCTTATCGCGGGACTCTAACCCCAAAAGCGCGGTTTGAAATCACGTAGCAGCCGTAAGGCAGCTGATCTATACAGGTATCCAAGCAATAGTACACAACGTAAAGATATTGCTTCGCAAATACACACATGAGCTCCCGGCATTGGAGCTCTCAGGGGGAACCGGGACATCCACCATGCCGTAAATTGTCATCCCGCACATAGGCGCTTCAAGGCCGCCCATTTTTTTAAGTTACAAGTGTAACCTGGACATATTGCTAGGTATATATTAACTCCCGCTTACATCGTTATCCTGCATCTTACAGAATTGACGCAGAGCAGTGAGGTCCTACCCCTCAAACTGCCCGATTGTTATCACGTCATCGGCATAGTTCTTAGCTTTTGAAAAAGCAAATCAGCAGGTCGTAACTTACCTCTGCCCAAGTTTAGATAGGAACAACCGCTCCAACCTTATCTTATCCGTTACCGGGCCCCCCTGCGGGCCTGGGCCTCTGTAAATGGCGAACACCATCCAAATCCACGTAAAGCCTACTGCTGGAGGTGACCGGATAACGCTGGATGTGGCCCCAACTGCGAGCGTCGCAGATGTGAAAGAAGCGATAGCGCAAAAGAATGGAATGACAAGCAGCGAGCAGAGGCTAATTTTTAAGGGTCAGATCTTGAAGGATGATGAACGCACCATCGACAGCTATGGTAAGCGCTTGCCACTGTCCTGTCAAGCTGTCCCGCCGTGCTCGTTACCCATGGTTCGTCAGTGCTGCGCGCGTTTCCGTGTCGATTGGGTACGTTTTCGATGTCTGCCTTGGTGGGCGTCTTTGGCTTTCCTTGCAGGCATCGTTAACGAGAGCGTGCTGCATTTGGTTCGCGGCAGGCCCGCCGGCGCCAGGTGAGCTTATGAGATGGATGATCATGTGTCTCTAATTTTTAAGTGCAGCTCGTGAGCTGGAAGCTCTGGATAGAGGAGCTCGAGGCTGCCCTGAGCTTGTCGACTGTCAATCTTCTGCCGCATCCTGTGTTTCTTGGCAGTTGCTTCGACCGTTCGCCGCCTTCCAAGTTAATATTTCAAAGCTATTTGTATCCATGTGCTGAAGTTTTGCATGTACTTGCCAAGCCTTGCTAAGTAGCGCTCTGGCCGGGATATCCTCGTCCTGTTGGCCGCCTATTATCTAATAAGTTAGGTGCAGGTCCCATGTGTCAAATATTCTTCTCTCCCGTTCAACCATTTTGCAGTGCGGCGGCAAGCGCAGGCACGGCTGCGGCAAGTTCAACCGGAGCAGCGGGTGCTGGCGGAGTTGCTTCCAGCGGCTTTGGCTTGGTGCGTTTTCGACCCTTGCCCCTCCCTAATGCGGCCAGCCTCCTTTCCCTGTCCAGTGCAGTATGAAGGGTAAACTGGTGCGGTTCCCCCACAGTATACGTTACGAGGGCGATGCAGGATGACCTATGAACATAACTACAATGCTGAACGTAGGGGGTATGTTACAGCGCCGGCAGACAGTTATCACAGTTGGATCTGATTCCCCAAGACTACGCAAAACACGTGACGGCCACATACATGCGCTGGATGTCCCTCCGCTTCGCTGGACATGAGCTTCTCTTCCCCTTCCGGCACCCACGGCAAAGACGTACTCCTTGTAGTGTTTTCGATCGCGACCGCGCTGTCGCCTTTCCTTTTGCATCTGCAAAATAAGCGCAAACATAGACACAAACACACTATACGTCCCCCCTTGTCCGCCGCCCCTGTTTTTGCTTATGTTTCCGCGTCCCTCCCCTGCCCGGCCGCAGCCTGGCATGCCGCCGGGTCTGCAGCAGGCCATGTCGGCCGCCATGAACGACCCCGCAGTCCAGTCCATGCTGAACGACCCAGAGCTGATCCGCACGCTGCTGCAAGCAAACCCGGCAGTGCGGGACGTGATGGAACGAAATCCTGAGGTGAGGTAAACGGAGGGGAGCGGGGTTGGGAATTACACGCAAAAAATTAAAGGAACATCAGCCGACGCGCAAAGTACCAGTTGCCGGAGCCCGTAGCTTCGAAAGCTTGCCCACGAAATTGAACTGGGGCTGGGGACGGGGTGAAGGATGTGCTGAGAGGGGTATGTGGAGGGTGAGGGGAGGCACTGAGGAGGGGGTTTTGCGGGGTGAGGTGGGATGAGGAGTGCTTGAGGATGGGGAGACTCTCAGGAGGCCAGGCCGCTGCAGTGTGGGGGAGGGCAGAGTGGGGCATGGAGAGAATGACGCTGGGTTTTGCTGTGTCGTGATAATTACAGCGGACATGCCTGTCTGTCTGCCTGTCCAGTTCAGTTCAATTCTGCAGAAAAGTGTATGGTGAGCCGACCTGGGCTGATTTAGCTTGTGGGCTAAGTGGGTGTTGTTCTGGGGCCTCGGCAGGATCGCCCGGGAGCACAGACGGCAAACAGCAGCGAAAATGTTTTAACGCTGCAGTTACAGTGTGAAAGTGTTACAGTGTGAAGTTACCTTGCCAGCAGGTTAGAAGAACCTTTTCTGTTGTTGTTGGTGATGAGAAATGTCGTCCTGAAAACCACAGCTTTGAGAGTCCTGAACCCCGACCGCGAGCCGTGGTTGCACATCGTCCCCGGGGGGACTTTTGATTCGCAGGTGGCCCAGATTCTCAACGACCCCGCGACACTGCGAGAGATGGTACGGATAGGATCCAACCCCGTAAGTGCAGGGATTTGGTGGGTTGGGCCTTGAGCAGGGGTTCTTTGTATTAATGGTGATGTTGTTGAGGACGAGGATGACAATTTTAAGTTTAAAACTGGGTGCATGTGCGAATGAAACTGCGACCAGCTAAACAACAAGGAATATGGGGAGGTTGGAAGGAAGAGAGGGAGAAGGTGGATCATCTTATGTATGACGGGTGTCCTTGAGTCTAACCGTCAGTCAGTCGTGGTTGGATCTTTCTAGAACTCCATCACTGTAAAAATGTGCTGGCTCACACGCCTCCATTCCTCACTGTTTATGCACGTGTTTTGCGTACTACTTTCGTTCCTGCCTGGACAACTGCACCACGACGGAAAACAGGCACTGCTCAGAGAGCACATGCGCACCAGCGACCGGGCCTTGTCCAACATCGAAGCCCTGCCAGAGGGCTTCAACGCGCTTCGTCGTCTGCACGAACAGATCCAGGAGCCGCTGCTCAACGCGGCCATGCCGCCAGAAATGACCTCGTCGTCCGCCGCTGGCGGCGGTGCCGGTAACGCGGGTGCAGCAGCGGCCGCCGGCGGCGCGGCGGCGGCGGGGGCGGCCGGCGACCCGCTGGCTGCGATGCTGCAGCAAGCATTGGGCGGGATGGCGGCAGCCGGCGGCGGCGGAGCCGCCGCCGCTGCTGCCACGAATGCCGGTGGTGGAGCGGCACCGAATGCAGCGCCCCTCCCCAATCCTTGGGCTCCTGGTGCGTCGGGAACGGGTTCGAGCAGATTGTGGGATGTGGGGAAAGTCCTCCTCGGTTCCGCAACTGCGAGAATTTGAATTCTCCGACATTGACACATGAGTGGACATGTGGACCTAGCTCTACTGGAAACTTCTGAATGCAGATTGCTGGTTGATCACGACTGCAGTTTGATGGCTGGTGGCCCCACCTCCCTCACGGTTCGTCTTCCCTACCTACCTCACTGTCGTCAGCCAGCAATCTGCATTGGTGCGGATCACACCAATGAAAGCTGGTTATTTTCCTGACTTCTCCTGACATAGAGGCGTTCAGTCATCATACTACAAATGTTAGCCCCGCCCCATTGCCTTTCCAGGCAAGGGCATTACTAGTTATGTTACACGGCTGTTCCTCTCGTACTGAGCCGTTTTACTACGGCGGAATGGGTCGAACCAACAGTAGGGTAACGCTGTCGCTGAATTACAAATGACCATACCGGCCGAGTTTCGCCCTTGCGGCCGTGCGCTCGCTCGTGCGAGCACCTTCCTGCACCTTCCTGGCTTGAATTTTATGTGTTTTGCGGCGGGCGGCGTGACAGGTGCCACTGGCGGGGCCGGCGGCGGCGGAGCGGGTCTGCCACTGCCCTTGGGCATGGGTGCCGGGGCCTGGGGAGGGCTGGGTGGAATGGATGGTCTCGGTATGGGGAACATGAACCCCGGCGACATGCTGGCGATGATGCAGGTATGTTTGCGGGGTTGGATGAACTGCTAGTTATGAAAATGCCGTACAAGGCCCTCATTATTTCTCTGCGGCTTCTACATTTCTTTAAGCAGCATCCTGGCGTTTTTCGTACGTCCATCCTCGTACTGGTTTGGATAGCATCCTGGGGCAACAATGGACCAGGGCAGGTGGCACAGCTATCAGATGCTCAGACAAATGCGCATGCTTGGCACACTAGGACTAGTTCACATTTTGATGATGATGAAAGCTACTCGTGTGCCATCACCGGCTATTTCGTTAGCGCGACATCCGGGCAACGACGTCCACGCGCCGTCTCTCCGTTTGTAACCTTTCCTCTCTCTCCCATTCTCCTCCGCGATTTACCTTTTACTGCCTTACCGCCCCCTCCTTCCGCTCCACTGCGCTTCCCTGTCGCAGAACCCCGCCGTACAGGCGATGATGCAGTCGGTAGCAAGCAACCCAGCTCTGATGGAAGCCATGATCAATTCCAACCCCAACATGAGGGCAATGGCAGACGCCAATCCCATGTTCAGGTGCGGAAGCAGAGTGAAGGAAATGAAGAATTAAAGAACTGAAGCAATGGAGGAGGGAAGGAGGGAAGGGGCGCAATGAAGGAGTGAAGGAAGGAAGGGAGGGAGTGAGGGAAGGAGCACCAGACCCACCGGAGGTTGCGGCTGTGGGCCACGCGGCCACGGGTGGGACAGTGTCGAAACTCATGCTTGCGTACGTGTGCGTGGGGGATTGATGTGGGGGGAATTGTTGGGGGAATTGTTGGGAGGGGCTTTTGGGGGGGTTTTGTGGGGGGGTGTAAAGCACAGGGGCATGTGTGGCTGAGCGCGATGGAGCAGCTGCGGCTACGTTTCCATTGGATTGAGGGCTCGGTTAGCAAGTGGCTCGGAGATGGGCAGTATGCCGATAGCGTGCAGGTGTTGTGATAATTGGGGAGACTGTGAGGAGAGCTTTACACAACAGCAACGCACAGGTTTCGGATTGTGCCAAAAAAGACCCGAACCCCCAACTCTGCGCATGCATGATCAGGTATGCCCTTCCATTCACCATCAAGTCCACAGTTCAAACTGCTCCAGCATTTTTATTATTCTCAAATCTCTCCCCCTTTGTTCGCCACTTCACAAAATCCCCAAACAGGAGCGTGATGAGCAACCCTGCTGCAATGCGAGCCATGTTCAACCCGCAGAACTTGACCCAAATGTTGCAGCTCATGCAGCAGATGGAACAGATGCGGGTGAGCAGTGGCGTTGAGCAGTGCAGGGAAGAGGGTGAAAAGAGAGACTCAATTACATGCGATCCATTCTAGTTTGTTTGTGTTCACGAGCCATCTTGGCTGTCATCTGTCCTCATGCGAGTGCATCACCACACCCAGCTGATCCCTTCTTTTCTTCCTTTGCCTTCCGGCCCTTCGCTTTCTTTTGCCCTTTTTCCACGTACCTTGGAAACCTGCTCCCTGTCAACATCCGAACCATCGCTGCTGCCACCCCATCCTCACCATCGTTATCGCCATCGGGTTTAGGGCTCCAATCCACTGCTTGCCCAGCTCATGGGGGGCTTAGGCGTCCCGGGGACCGGTGCGCCGGGCGCCGGCGGTGGAGCTGGTGCCGCGTTCCCTGACATGGCCGCGCTGCTGGGGGGCTTGGGCGGCGGCGGCGGCGGCGGCTTGGGCGGGCTTTTCGGGATGATTCCACCCGCGCCGGCCGCCGTTGCGGATCCAGAGGTGGCCTACGCGACGCAGCTGCAGCAACTAGCAGATATGGGCTTTTTTGACCGGCAGTCCAACATTGCGGCGCTGCAGGCGAGTGGCTGGTTGGACGGCGGGTGGCTAGATGGATGGTTGGACGGATGGCTTAGCCTATTTTTACACAACTGGGCTGAGGGGTGGACGGGCAGTAAAGGGCGGACGAGAAACGCGTGGAAGGGGGGGACTATTTGGTGATTTGGTGGGGATGGAAGTGGGGCAGCAGGCATCAGTCGTTGGGTCTGGGAGTCTTAATGCAACACCTGCCCAGCCCTGGGGTGGAAAGTTTTGGGCTGGGGATGCGGACGGTCATGGCTTTTTTCATGCCTTACTTTTCGACGCCCGTGATCTGGTGAACTCGCGCCTTCCTTCTTGTGCCGTTGTGTGCAATCCCTTGCAGCTCGTCTTCCGTCTTACCTTTTCATCACTTCGCGGAGCTGTCTTAAATGTTTTCTTCTCTTCCAGCTGTTTTACTTACCCAGGGTATCCGGGCGGTTTTCCGGCCTTCTTTTACCCTTTGTCTGATAGGCCACAGGCGGGAACGTGAATGCCGCTGTGGAGCGTCTGCTGGGGGCTCCATGAGGCGCCCCCGAGGTAACACCCTAAGTTGACCAAGGAGAGGTGCAGCGCGAGTACTGCTGCCCGCTCACATGTGCCGGAAAGGTGAACGTGAAGTGGAGGACCGGGCGGCTGGGAGGGATGAAAGCCGTTGAACCCAACGGGAGGGATGGAGGCCTGACGCGGAGGGGCCGGCGTTGGCTTAAAAACGAGGTACCTGATCGAAATGTCGGACGTGGCGGAACGTGGCGACGGACATGGCGACGTGTGGAGGCGGATGCGGCGGCGTGTGTACTAGGGGCGTGGTGAAGGGTCATCTAATGCTCCCCTTTCCGTGTTCTCTAGGACCCGACTCCTTCGCCGGCCCGAAGGGCGCCAGCTTTGTGGTGGTGTCGACACCAACGACAAGGAACGCAACATCGCAGGAGAGAGCTAAGAAATACACCACAGCTACCGACATGGCTGCTTTTGTGAAGCAGCTAGTAAAAAAATAATCAACCATACAAGCAAATGAACGGGCAGGCCGGAACGCACGCATGTTGACTTGGCATGTGTGTTGTGAGAAGCTCTCTACCTCCTTTTCGCAGTGTTGCAAACAAAGGCTCGGATTAGACACTGCTTAAGGGCAAGAGGGCGTAAAGTAAGGCTTGGAAGCAATCACAACGTCTTGAGGCCAAGGGCAGCCTCTTGCCCGTTTTATTTTTCCTCCCCTGCGCGTCCGCCTGTTCCCAAGGGTATGCATACGTTCATACCGCATATGCGCAGCAATACACCTCGTGCCATATGTGCTGAGCGCCGCAAGGCAGAGGCGATGGGTTGTCAGGAACCGGCTTGCAGGGGCACAGCGGCAGCGGGGGCAGCAGGAGCAGCAGCCAGTGCAGAAGCTTTCACGCGCTTTGAACACTTCGCTTGCGTGTTGCTGCGATGTGTGTGCGTGTGAGGGTGAGTGCGAGTGTGAATACGAGTACGTCTGTCTTGGGGGTTCCAGATAATTCACACATGGCCCTTGGGCTGGTCAGCAGGCGGCAACAACAGCACCACTCGGCAGGACGTGTTTAAAGGCGGCGGCAGCTCTAGATGCTAAGCGAAAGAGAGGAGAGCATGGCCTGGCAAAGCACCCATCGGGCCTGTCGCTAAAAGGTTTAAGAGCCCGGCCTGGCGTTGATGGATGTTTCATTACAACACGGCTTACTGGGGATCTGCTCCGTCTTTGAGGGGTTGCCTTCGTCTGTCATGGCGGAACATCATCGCAGGGCGATGGCGACGTCCGGCGAGAGGAGTGGAGGTCTGCCGTACAGGAGGTTGATTTTCGATGTTGAACTAGGCTGTTGCCATGCTGCCGCAGAGCCACCGCCGTTCGTTACCCGGCATAATGGACCTGCGTACGTGCTTGTGGGGGTATCCTTGTGTTTTACTTTTGCTAAGGGACGAGCATAATCGTTCTTGTGCATGCGGATCTATGGACATCGGGGGATGAGGAGTACATGCGCATTGATTTTCGGATTTAAATATGCAATTGGGGGTATTAGGTTGCGGATCGGGAGGCGATTGCTCGATGTGTGGAAGGTCCCAGCACAGGGGGCTGGATGGAGCCGAAGCCAGCAGTTGCGGGGTGGGTTGTCCGCATCAGGGCTTCGCATGGCGGCTGTGTACTTTCAGCCGCTTCCGGTCCGTGTGGTGACGGCAAGTAGCGGGGAGAGTAAGGTGCAGCATCTAATTTGGAGGCTTCATAAATCACAGTTATCCGATCTTCGAAGGGAGGAGAAAAAGGACCAATGTGGTCGTCTTTGGACCAATGTGGTCGTAATTAAAGTTTTGGAAGGGACGAATATCACATACGGACCTTCTTTGCGGTGTAAAAGAATGGTGTAAATGGTGTCTGCACCTGTCCAGTCAGTCGCAATGCCGCGATTGATGACACACGAGCCTGTGAATGGCCCCTTCTCAAGGTATGCGTTTTGGGGATCGTGTTGGCGTCATTCGCATACGCCCTTTTCCGCGGAGGATGACGCTGCTTGCATGTATGTGGAAGAGATGGGGCGGCTGCGCACCATGGTATGGTCTGGTTTTCCTCTTTTAGCCGGAGAATTTAGTGCGAGACTTGGACTCGAGGCTACATGCCGCGATTTGGGTCGCATGTCTCACTTGCCCGGCTTTCCGGGTTCCCCTTCGGGGAGCACTTCTTCCCCTAAAGGGGACGGAGTCCCCTAAAGGGGAAGTCCGGCCGAGCTGGGTTCTGTTGGCGAACGATGCGACGGCCGGCTGGCCTGTTTTCCTTCAGAATGCAGCATCACCTTCGCGGAGCGCTGCCCAGGGAATGGGCCCCTGGTGGGACTGGCTATATGGCGGTGGCGCAGTGCGGTATTATTTTTTTCGCAGGACCTGGGCAGCATCTGACGTGGTAGCAGGGTTTGGGTCTTTGGCTTTGTAGGAAAAAAGTTGGGCTGGTGCTGTCGGTTTTTACTTGCGGACGGTGTGTGGCTCTTGAACTTAGTACCTGCGTCCAACCGTATATATCGTCATATCTTCGACCTCGGGTTAGGCATGGGTCAGTTCGGTACTTTCACATGTGTCCCTCCAGGCGGCATGCAATATATACTTCACCACAGGTCGTCCTAACGGTTGTTTCGTATGTACCCTCGCGTTCATGCCTGACGGCCGCGTTTGTGTCTGTTATGCACGGGACCATGTGCGAGAGAAACTGAGAACAGTGTCAAATTTTGGTTCAGGGGAAGCCCGATGGAACATGCAAGCAAGCGCAAGGCTGACGGCATCTCTGCATCTATCTGCATCTATCACCACAGTGTCCAGGTAGGCGGTACGGTAACGTTTCCGTTTGGGCCGGTTGGGCTTACCGTGAAAAAAGGTTTAGCAACTCAAAGAGGCTACCGCCAAAAAGATATCACTACCAAAAGAGGCGTTGAACAGTTATAGCCTCCTACGAGTCACGGCACTTACCATCCCGCACCATTGCATCTGAATTTTATACAGCTTCACGGTAAATGCCGAAGGGTAAGTCTGTCACAATTACAAAGAATTGCACATTGAATGATGAGATTTCAGTATGTGCAATAAAACAGGTTTCCGTCATAGCGAGCGAAATCACAGCCCATGCATCAGCGTAAACCATCGCCACCACCAACAGTAACCTAGAGTACGGAGTAAACCCATGCATGGGTCGGTGGGTGGACCCTGAAAGGATACAGGACACATGGCGAAAGACCTACCATGACCTACTGCCCAAAGCATATACACTTGTCTAACAGGTCGTCACATGTACTCGTAACCGAGTCACAGAAAAGGTCACAGGCCACAACTCTGCCATGTTTAATGCCTGACGGCTAATAACTATTCGCAGTACATACATACACCCCTCAAGCACGTGAAATACAACGTGGACAGCGTTCCGTACAGCTTTCCAGCATATTGAACTAATTAATACATGTCTACCTACGCCAGACAAGAGCATCCGAGCTTATGATGCTCTGTTTTTTGTAGCCATCGGAAGCTAAACTCTCTAACTCCTGCCAAGGGCAATTACCCCAGCACATCTCTGCACACCAGGCGCGGCAGCATCCTAGGGTTAAGGGGTAATGGTCTCTACTGCCACATTAAGACAGCACATCCATGCACAAATCTAATGAAACTTGTGAAACAGCAGGGCGCCCGTAATGTCATGGCAGCCTCAGCGGCGCTTCATGCTTGTCCGCAGCTGCTGCAGGTCCTCTTCCACCTTCCTCCGCGACTCTCGCTCAGCTAGCAGCTCAGCTTCAAGCTTCTCCATCCGAGAGCGGAGGAACTGCGATAGACAAACGAAACATAAACCAGATACAGATAGGACGTTACCGCGGAAGACCTGTAGTCGCTGTATATTCAAGTGTAACTTTACTTTATTCAGCTTATTGCTATGAGACGTAACATCCCTGGCAGGCATAGATAGACACGGGAAACGGCCTAAGGCAATGTCCTGAACCCTCGGGGCCGAATAGGCGCTCTGGCCAGCTAATCTTCATCATACAAGGCGAAAACTATATCCAAACACGAGACAAAAGAGATCACACCGCAGCTTTTGCTGCCGCTTACCGCTGTTTTCGAAGTGAAGCCTGTCGGTGCGGCTGAGCGCGCATGAGCTGATTCTCCCGCCATAGACCGAGCTTCCATAGCTTCACCTACGAAGACCTCGCTTGGTGCAACCCCGAGTCGTGGACCGGGCCCTGACTTCTCCAGTTGCTGCACCTGCTGATTCCAGAACTTTTCTGCCTGGGCCATCTCCTTGTTGATACGCTGCAAAGAAAAACATGTGCTTGAGCCCAACATTTGAACATCGATCGCTTTGCAGCACAGGTGCAGTTCCTGCAGCCTTACCTCGGCCCAGGCGTTCGACATCTGCACCTGGTACAAGTTGTAGGCCATGTTGTATCTGCTGTTTATAACACAGCGAAGCGAAAATTCAGGCCGCGGACGTTGGTCGCAATGCCATTAGCGGACACCATGGCAAAATCGAGCATGGTTATACTCCAGAAAGAGAAGAAAGGCAGTCGCATGCTTAACAAAAGGCCACTAACCTGCTGCTTTGCCTGAAGAAAGGGGGTTAAGTCTCCGACCTGGCACCTGCTTTGAAGGCTATAAGCCGACAATATACACTTGTTAACCTTGTGCGTTGCATGCAAATCAATGATTCAATGCCCTAATGCTTGATGCCTACAAATGGAGACTCGAAGGTATCATTAAGTCCTCATCCGTACGGGACTTGTACGGAGCCGTTTTCGCACACTTACAGGCAATGTTCGGTTTCCAAAGAAAGTTGCCCAAAAAGTGCCACAGTTTCGATAGATACTTAACAGTAATGCCTCAGACCAGCAACAGCACTGATAACGACAAAACCGCTGTGAGTGTAGTTTTTGCAAAGCTACTGATTGTCAAGTAGTTCACATTACTTTTTATCTCAATGCCATAGATCCTCGCCATTCCACCCTGTTCTCCCTTCTCCGAACGCCTTCCTAAGCATTACCTGGGTAATATCTCACGGCTAAGTCATGGGCAGAAAGGTTGTAGACTACATACCTGACTGAGAGACTCGCCGCAATACATACCTGCTTCCTGGACAGTCAATTGTGACGAGCAGGAACGGCGGAAGGCGACCGGATAAGTGCAACCGAATCGGCCTAGCCTTATCCGCATAGGCTAGGCATTCGTCCCTGCGCAGCTTTCAATATGCAACGTAAAAATCTATTTTTGCAATAGGGGTTTTTGTCCAGAACCGAAACGATGGAAGCCAAAAGCACAATAAATAGCTTGAAGGACGACTCGCACCACACGAGACTTGACGCTTCACCAACTACTCAACCCAGATCAGGTATCGTAAGGCATGGCAGTGCAGAAGAAAACTCGCGGCCGCAAATGCCTGTCAATGACCGATTCCCTTACTCTGGGAATTTACACTTTTTCCTAAGAGGCAATCAGGCCCATCAACGCGGGCAATCCACATAGCGGTTTACAGCACAGGCGAACGTGCGACCTGCAGTCGTGCAGGTATCCTCAAAAAGTCACCTCTCACACTCTGCTGTGGAACTGATGAGGCCTGATAACGGATTTCGCGGAGCCGCCACACATTCCTTCATGCCAGGGGATGAAGGGGACCTAATATGTGCTCACAATGTTCGACATCACACAGTAAACAGTTGTCGCACGCTGACTGAGCCCCACTAGGTGAACCAAACACAGCCACCCAAAATGCATGCATCTGCCAATACCGTACCCCAGGCATTTCCAAGCAGATCCAAGAAGACCTTCCAACCTGTTTTGTCATCTGAATTACCCCGGGACGAAGAAAAAGAGAGTTCGCCTGTAGCTGACCAATGAAGACCGGTCCGAGAATGTTTGACACCTTTGACAACGTAACTAAGGAAATGACCGTGGGGAAGGCGAACGGCGGGCGGTGGGCAGGAGGCATATGAGGACAGACAGCCGGCAGGTTCAGGCAGAAGTCCAGGCAGGCAGAGTGAGCTCGAAACTGCTAAGAAAGGGCTACAGCTATTCTTATCTTTCTTTTCAGGCCGACATTGAACACGCATACATATGCATCTTTAGAAGCCGACATATCCAGATGACGTAATCGGAAGCCGGGAGTAAGCCAACAACCCAACAACGGTACCAACCAACCATCCAACCAACCAACCATGTTCGTTGTGGGTTGTTAGATCCTCCTCGGTCACATACTCAAAACACCGGGCGCGAAATGACGGGCGGATCTAGCCCCGTGCGCCCTGGTATGTTAGCTGTAGTCATAACCCGCCAAAAACAGCTATTCAAGCACTAGCACCGGTTGACCTGTTGGGCCAGCTGAGGGGGTTTGGTGGGTGGGTGTGGCCGTGGTTGGCACCAAATAGCGCGCATAGCACACATACAGGATATGCACCCCAGAGAACGCAGTTGATCCGGCCGGTCGAGTGGAAAGACTTACGACAATATGTACCTGCAGTTCCGCGTAGAATGAAGATAACAAAGAAGATAACAAAGAAGATAACAAAGAAGATAACAAAGAAGATAACAAAGAAGATAACAAAGAAGATAACAGGCAATACCGATGAACGGAAGCGTTCTTGTATTCCTAAATCACACTCGCACGCGGTGACACTCGTAATGCGGCAACAGCTCAAATAACGTGCGGCTCTCGCTTAGGATGGTTCGCAGTCTTCTGCGCCGCTGTGTTGCCTAGCCAAGGTCTCGGAGAGTGGCTCGGCTGGCGTGAGTGAGGGCGTGAGGTGCGCGCGGAGGAATAGACGGACATGGAGCCGCGCGCCCGCCCCTGTGATGTGTTTTGGTCCGGTCATGGCCCCCGCCGGTGCTCATCCTTTCTCAGGGCGAGCTACCCACAGTGTAACACCCCATCAACCAGCTCTTGCAACCGGCAGGAAAACGGTTTCCTTCGTCTTCAACAGAAACAGGAGACGGAACAAATTGCAAACAACAAGTACGTCCCCCTATGCAACGGCCCCCTTAGGGGTAACCCCTTGCTTCCACACATCGAGGATGTAACCCAACATTGAGGATGTACCTAATCGAATGCGAGCTCGTCCAGGAATGGGATATCGGCACGAGGTCATGTTGGATACTAGCGATATTGGGCATGCCCCCAACGTTCTTACCAGTACCCCAAAAGAATTGGTGGGAGATGATGGCAATAGGGTCAGCAGTGAGTGGGCCACGGCGGTACAACATTGGTTTTTGAATCCTAAGAACTCTCATGCACATCAGTTTCTTAGGTTCCCCAAATGGCACGATTGTATGTGTGAGCGCTTCCGAAGCCCTCTTAGCCGATACCTCACATTAGTGGCGGACGGCGGCTCTTCAATCCACCGTTCCGTCCGGTTCACAGCAGCTCTGCAAGTGCGCTTCTTCCGTACAAGTTGCACGACTCCTTATTAGGAGGTTAATATGCTGGCGGCGATCGCAGGCTTCGGGGTGAGCTGTATTGCTGTTCAAGGTGTTGAAGGTTTCCGTCTTAGGATTCCCGGTACTGCAGTGCACGGTCCGTTGCGGCCGGATGGCCCTACCCTTGGGCATTCTGTTGGGGTCTGGGGCTCACTGTGGTACCTACTACTACAACTAGTCACTGTAAGTGCAGGTAGGTGCAGGTGGAGGTCCTACACGCGCCCAGGTCCATGAGATGTATTGCCATGGCTCGGCCCAGATTGGGGCTGCTCGGCCATGTTGCATGCCGTACAGCACTTAACGGCATAACGAATTTGCCACGGGGCTTGAATGCCCGTGCTGTGACAAAATGCTATGCCGAGGTATCATACTGCTGCTTTACTGGGCATATTTGCTTTCTGTGCAGCTCTTCTGCTACTTTGTTCTATAGGTGCATGGTATATGCCATTTCAAGATGCAGGGGATGGCATACCAGTACTATACATTTTTATATTTTTTTAAAATATTTTTTCTGTAAGTATTGAACACTCCTAAGCGGGCTAAAGTATCCATAATATTTTTGCCGTTACATTGCAGAGCATTCAATGGCACTAGCTGTCAGAGCTGTCCGGAAACTTTTGAACGGCGCTACTTAAAAATGTCCGCATACGGCCATGCTTCAAATGCCTCTTACTACAATGATTTTCGGGACAAAGTTGCAAATCGGCGTGGTCGGAGCAATACGAGTGTGTCCCTTGAAGACTTTGGCCAGCAGACGCAGCAGACACTGCTGCCAGGGGGATCCCTGAATCGACGCCTCCTCAATCTGCAATTCCATGTCCATGTGATTTTTGAGGCCAATACAATTGACGATTATGGAGCCTACAAGTTGGCCAGAGTGCATGACCTCCCACTTCATATTTCACGAAGTTCATAAGCACACATACAAGCTCCAAGACCAACTTAGAAACAGCATGCACCGGGGCCCGAAGGCCAACACTCAAATCGCACAACGCTGGTCCTTTCTACGTAATCGTTTGCCCAACCAACGAGCGGAATAACACGAAGTAATAAAGCCAGAGGCACCGATAAAATATGCAGATTTAACGGGGAATTCCGAAACGGGGGAAATCGAGTTATTTTTGAAGCTGTCGCGCTTGCTTGTAGTCAAACCGCGCTTTCCAATCCAATCCTACTTTAAGTTCCGAAGTACAGCAATAGGCGCTGCCTGACACATCAACTGGCCTGGCCTTACCGGCTTGGCTACGAATCACTTTAACACCTAAAGAAGAAGACGATAGGATGGGAAAAAACGTAAAGGTTTCGACCACCAACGACACAACAAAACTACGCCCATGACCGTAATGAACCCCTGAACCCTTAGGAATCACTAACCAGGAACAGGAACTCGCTCATCAAACCTCTGTAACTTCTAAACCCCCCCAAACAGCAGCATGGGCAGCTGCCCATGCTGCTGCAGCAACAGCAGCAACAGAAGAGAACCATCGATGTACGCTTGGTATGGTTAGGTATGTACAGCAGCGGTCCAGCAGTCGAGGATACGCTTTTGACTCGATGTGGTGTACGACGAACCTTCCTCATGAACGGGCACTCAGTTGCTGACAGCTGTCAGCTCGTCTTGTGTTTCCGTGTGTGCAAGTATGTATGTAGTAAAGGTAAACTTTAATGCTCCTCTGCTTTGTTTAACACGTTTGGACTGTTACGTTCGCTTTGGAATGTTCAGTTAGTTCAGCGGCGTTTTGGGACGAAACAGGATCAATGGGAAAGTATGTTTCCTCATTAATCCGGCAGCGAGTGGCAGCGCTGATGGCCTGCTGAGAGACCCTGCGGGCCCTGATACGGGTCGAATCTCTAGGTTAAAAATGCATCCAAAGGCAATTGAAAATGTTCCTGGAAGCTTAACAAAATTTTCTGCGAATTCTTCAGCTTTTGTTCCTTGCAGCGGCCCACAGCAACTGCATTTGAATACTTCGAGCCGCGGACCGGGAAGTAATCACAAAGCAAGGACGTAAGAAATGGATTCGCAAAGTGGATTTTCGTGGACTCATAGGGACTGTATTATTTGCGAAGCAGGCGTAATTCTCGCCATCATTCAAAGATTCACAGGACTCACCCATATTTACCGTTATGGGTGCCCATGAGCCATGATGAGGTGTTTCCGACGACTTTCCACACACCTGACCTGCTTGAGACTGTGCATTTGTGATGTGAGCAGCGCCGTTGGAGCCCCCACGCATTCGAAACCCTTAACTTCTGCAACACTGCTATTGCCTAGCTTTTGAGGAAACCCATTCCTTGGGGCAGCCTGCCAAGCTGCTGTTGTCGGCCCTTCCCTTATGTGCTTGCGTATCTGTCCGCGGTGCGTGAACACTGCAACCGAGATTGCGTGTGAGAAAAAAATGCTGCCAGATTGCAGTACGACGGAACGAAGTGATCCGATAAAGCTAGTCACTGATCAGTGACTAAGCTCATGAGCTTCATGTGTAAATCTTGCTTATTACTGTTGTGCATCGGTTTTGCCGGTTTTTTAAAACTATCTTCCTCGACTGCTGAAACGTTGCCGTACTCTCGTGTACATACAATTCGGCCGATCCAACGTGAAAAATCCTCGTCGTAGGTTCAGTGATTCATTCTAGGAGCTGCATATCAACTTATTTATGCTGCTGGTAGAAGCTTATTTTCTAGTCCGCGGCTTCGTGACCTACCCTCTCCAGGTTCGTAAAACGCATAAGCGCATCGCTTTGCTTCTTGTTCGACTAATTGTAAAAGTGAATTTTTGTTACTTGGTTCTGCTGCCACTCTGTAAAAATTCTGGTATATGGGCGAAAGCTGCCGTGATGGCTGTTGCCACCGGGTTCTGAGAGACGCGGGAGTTCCAGTAAACGCAGTAAACTTTCCAAACAACAAGTTTATGATTTGAAATTGTGACAAACGAGGCTCGACAATGGCGTTTGCCGCTGTTTAGATGTGATATCGTGCGGTTGCTGCTACCTTCGCAACTGACCAGTTCCGCACTTTGGACTTCTGCGTGCAGGTGACTGCAACTACACGACGGTTCTAGTAGCTGTAATGAAAGGCTAGCTCTGCTGGCCGAATATCGTTATTTGCAACGCTCGACTTTCAGCGTACGCAGCATTTCGCGACTAGCAGTCCGACTTGGACAGTTACAAGCAGGCTACCAGGCAGCGGCTTTCATTTAGCTTCACATCCCCAATTATCAAGGCAATGTTGTCTTCAAGCAATCCGTTTTCTCCTAGCTTTGGAAACTCCGGCTTGACCCGCGCGAGTTTTAACGCCAACTTTTCCGGGGCATATTATCATGTACCAACTTCGCCCAGTTCGGTGCCAAGTTCTACACCGCACTCATTCACCACCACCACCACCACCACCACTAGTGGTTCCGACAGCACCGCCCTTGTTCTCTATAGCCCAACGACATCTTTGCACGGACTATACTACAACGAGCAGTTGCACGGGCCATTCGCAACAGGCCGGTCGGTAAACCCCTTCACTCCTGGTGAGAGCGACAGAGCATTTCGTAATCTTTTATGGTTTTCTCCGTGCAGAAACCGTACAGCAATTCATGCGTTCGTAGCCATACGGAGTACTTCATGTCCTGCCCATTTCAGGCCTGAGCCCGTTGAGCTCGATTCCAAAGCCCTCGTACGTCACGGGAGATGTTGTACGGGAGCGCTTTCCAGCGATGCGTTCAGAGGACGACCCGCTGAATTGGATTACAGACCAGGAGCTTGATATGAGGTGAGGTTGACGTGCTGGCGACAGGGTCTCGATCTGAAAATCTCTGTTTGGAAGCCTTTGGATCCGGAAGCCTTTGGATCCGGAACCCTTTGGGTTTGGAAGCCTTTGGATTTGGAAGCCTTTGGGTCCGGAAGCCTTTGGGTTTGAAAGCCTTTGGATTTGGAAATCTGACCTAATGAGGGATCTGGGGTATGAGGGAGCACCGGGGGATGTCTTGACTCACCCACCACCTCGTTACGGTGCCTCCATTGGTGCATGGGTACCTTTTTCTCGGCAATCCCCAAAACGTGTGAGCGCCTTGCGTTGTCTTTGCCCTACATCTCTTCCCCCGTGAAACCCTCGCACAATGTCGTACAGGGGCAGCAAAATGGCTGCAAACCAGCAGCGGGTGCCGCTACGGTGCCAGTCTTCGAGGAATTAGGTCCATCATGTCAAATGCTGTACCAGTGCCGTACTGAAATGGCAGCGTCTTGGTCATATACATATGGCGGAGTGCAGGGCCCTATGCTCTTGGAGGCTGTACGGAGATGACGTACGCTGTATGTACGGACGGGGCTGTACCCTGCGACAAACCAGAGGCTGGACGGGTGCCAGGAAATACGACTGTCCTATGCCACGAGGACCGTGCTCTTATTCCAATCCATACGCATTGACTGTTTGCCCTAGTATGAATGACTTTAAGCAGTACGACATTGCGCCTTGTAATAGTGGGGAGGTGAAAACATATGTGATATCTTGTTATGGATCTTGGGCCAGCTAGCTGTGAAGTTTGTTACGAGGGCCATTTGGGGACGCTGCTGCCTGGCGTCTTGTATGTACGTCAGCTATGCCTCACCTTGACCGTAATGTTATTAGTCGAGGTCTAAAACTCCTTTCGCCGTTGGGAAGGTGCGGTTGAACTGATGGAAACGGTGGATTCTATGTACGGCAAATGTGTCCGGCATCTCTCGGTCAGCTATTGCTTGCTATCGCCTCCCCGATCTCGGATATTGAGTATGGGTGCAATGGATCCGCTGCCGTACAGATGACCGCGCAAGGCTATACCGCAGCTTATCGCATTATGTCACGGCGTAACCAAGGGACCAAATAGCCTCCCTTTAGCCTGAGGGTTTGGGGAATAAGAAGTAAGATGCCTAAATAGCTGCGGTTGCGAGGTTCAGAGTACGGAAGTGTATTACATTTAATAGCCCTCGGGGTGTTTCTTAGGTAGCGTGCAATTGTAGGGAGCTGTCATGCATGGCCCTGGTGGCTTCTCGAATCGCGCACGGCCATGGCAGGATTGCCGTACACAAATTGGTTGACTTTGGTTATTACTCATTGCGCGGCTTTTATAACGAGCTCTGTCAACGCTTGTCTGCGTTTACATGATTTTATGATTCTGTGCCCGCCCTTGTATCATCTACGGCAGCAGGATTGCACGGCGGGAGGTGATTAGGTGGTTGTGATTTAGGTAGTGTTGGGTGAAGGATATGTGGCAGTGATAGTAACCTTGGGGGCAAACCTATTGTTTGTTTAAGGAAAATGCTTTTGCGATGTAAAGGGGGTTGGAAGTCGTACAGTACGAGCGCCAAATGGCAGAGATACCGCGACCAGATGTCATCGTCGTCGTCTGAATTGTTGTTAGGAAGTGTTCGATGCGCTAGGATCTGAGCTCCTGTGGTGGACTTTTGGTGCATCTCTTTTCCTCTCCTAAAACTAAATAACAAGCAAGTCACATTATACTTCTGCAAACTATTCACGCATGGACGGCGGCTGCAACAAGGACACCTGACGAGTCCGTTCCCAACTTTATAGCAACTGTCCCTGTTACATTAAAATCGTTTATTTTAGAAACTAGTCACTACACGCTGTGCGTAGCTCTACTATTAAAGCTAGCACAGTATGTGTTTAAGTCATCCTGTCCTCGTTTCTCTTCGATTCTCTTCGAATGGCTGTCCTTTGGTCTTTTCATGCGTCTTGCCGGTTGGGTTGGTTAGCGAGGTGTCGCGACATTCCTGGATGAGACCGTTAAAGCATCTGCCAACGGTTTAGCCGCCTTTCGACGCGGCGCTGTGAGAAATATGGCGGTAACACATGCCGACCACATATATACAGACATACGTACCGGGCAGCTAGCATCATGGACATTATTGACGAAGGGATTTAAGTCAGTACTGGCGGTTCCTTCCATAGGAAAGCGCCAGACATAATATTCGCCGCGGGGAAGCAGAGCCTACATTTCCTGACCCATATAGAAGGTGACGTGTGTGATCTACAGGGCTGGTAAAGGGATGGAGTTCAGCGCCCACCCAAATATTTAAGATGCGCTCATTCGTTAGCAGACGTAGCAAAACATGTGATGAGCTGCTGCAAGGATTGCTATTCACCCGCTGTGTTGCCGCTGACGATGTGCTCTGATGACGGCCGCTCGATTATTCGACGAACTGCGATGTTGGGTCCAATGTAAATTATCAATATATTCAATAAGGCCTGATCTGCACCGAATTTTCCTGACACCCTCCTTCCTATCCTCCTGCCCGCGGGCTCCGGCCAGCCCCTGCCAAAAGCCCTCCGCCCCAGGCCCCCAGCATCGGAGGACCAGGAAGAAGAGAATGTGGACCAACGAATGAGCTTATTGCGACGGGAAGGGACGATATAACATATACGATGTAATATAGACGATACATTATCACCCTTCATGGCCTTAAAACTAGCCATGCTATTCATCATGCTGGACTAGTATTCGGGTGACATTGCGACATTCGCACACCTTGTCGTACAACATCGTACGATAACAAATCCTGCGTACGACAACTGTTACCAGGAGAGGTAGCAACAGAAACAGTCTCCCCTCTTTCTGTCTTTCTCTTCCTGACTGCTCGTCCTTCGTACACATTACAAACTCGTACACCCACAAAAACACAATCGTTATACACCGACATGGCCAATATGAGGCACGCACATTTTTATTGTGTCCGGACATCACCTAAAAAGTCCTTCCCCTTCCTTACACACATACATACAGACTACGCACAGATAGATACGCACACACACAATTCACACACGCACAAACATTTACGCACAAACACACACAAAAGCAAACAAAACATGTTCCCTTTCAACAACGAAAGGATAATATCACGCTAACGAAGCTGCTCGGTTCAAGGCTGTTTGACCGCCACCAGCAGCTCCACAGTGCCGGCAGCGGCTCGCTCCAAAACCACCACCTGCAGCCCCGCCCTCACCGCCATCGCCTCCACCTCCTGGTTCCAAACACAGCCCTTACCCAGCGCCGCCACAGGCCCCGCCGTAACATCTTGGTACGCCGCCAGAAGCGTGTTGTCGGAGCGGCAGTGCTCCAGCAGCAGAACCCGACCCCCCTCCGAGGCGGGGCGAACCACTCGGGCCGCCTGACGGGTGGGTGTGTATGTATGTTGTATGTATGTCGTTACAGGGTGGTTAAGCTTCACCAGCGGCCCCCTTTCCCGAGGCAGTTCCCTGCTCTCCCCTGCGAGAGGGCCACCCTATTCCATTCACCCCATCCGACTTCAGAATGTATTCGTTGGGTTCAGCAACTCACCACCAGCATCCAACCAAATCTAGCGGATCAACGGCGCCTCAACTTAGTTCCTGGTCAGCTCGCAAGTAATGTTGTATGCATGTATGTATGTATGTATGTATGTATGTATGTATGTATGTATGTATGTATGTATGTATGTATGTATGTGTGGGGCAGGGGGGCATGTATGTATGTAGGTATGTATGACTTAGATTACACTGTGGGCCGCGAGAGCCGGGGGCCGAAGCCGAAACACAGCGTGAGGGGCGGATGCACATGGCCGGTTAGTCTCGTGCACTCCGCCCCCGGGCCAGGCCGCACGGGAAACGACCGCCGGCACACAACAGCGCTCCCCTCCGGGGTCTGGCGCTCCAGCTAGACGGGTACTGTGCCCACTGGTCTTCTAACAAAAAACGGAGCCGCAACCGGGGGGCTCTTCCTACGGGCAGAAAGCACCGAATACCTCAAGAAAACTCGCACCCAGGATCTGGGCGACCGGGAGCCCGACGTATGTATGTATGTATGTATGTTCAGCCACGAGGCGTAAGGGTGGTGTGAATGAGTGAGAGGGAGGCATAGCGGGGGTGGTGGTTAGCTGGGTGCGGCAGTGCGGCCCCTGGGAAGTGAGGCGGCGAAGTGAAGGGTACTGCTCCGTCAAAATGGTTTAATCCCTTATTGGGGTCAAGGCAATGGAGGAGCCCCCGGGGTTGAAGAGCTGCCGGGAAAGCCGCCTTCAGTGATTCGATCACCGACATGAAGAGTAGGAGGAATGGGAGGAAGACGACGCCTGCCCGGGGTTGAACCGCATTCTTGGCCAAACCCTGTTCCTTGCGGCCTGGAGAGAGAATGAACGGCTGTTCCAACTGTACGTTTATTCGTACTCTTACCGTATTATGTCGTACAGTGTCGTACTTACTTCTTTTAGAGCAGCTTCGGGGTCGGGAAAAACGCACAAACTAAAGGTGTCCACAACTGAGTCGAATGATGAGTCAGGTAAGGGTAGAGCCGCCACGTCAGCCTGGTGGGCGGGAAGAATGTACGACGGCAAGTACGGTTTATGTACGGCAATTATGTGCTGTAAAGATAGTATGTTTGCCTCTTTCATGATTTAGAAGGGAGGTAAACGATGTATAGCTGTAAGAATGTTGGTCCGTACGAATTTATAACAAGTTCTTTGCATGGCAAGCAAAGGAAAATGGTGCTTCACGTGCATGTCGTACATCTCGTACATCATACATACCTGGAGAAAGGAGATGGGCCGGTCGGCTAGGGCCGGCGTCTCATCCACCCGCCTTCTCGCCTGGACGAGCATTCCCTTGCTCAAGTCGACTGCGGAGTTAGTTGTGGATTTAGTTGTGGAATTATTGTCCGGGGCAAGGGGGAGAACTGCTGAGCAACGTGAGGAAGGGAGGAAGAGGGGGACTTGGCAAAGGTGGTGAGGGAGGAAAAGAGAGAGAAAGAGAGAGAGAGAGTAGTTGTGCAGCTGCAGCAGCAACTAGGATTTGTGGACGGCGCCAGGGAGGAGGGAGAAAATGAAAATGGCGTACGACGCCACTGGCTTTAAAGCCGGAGGGTTGGGGAGCACCGCCTTTACCTGTCGTAAGGGACGTGACGCCTCCGATACCGCTGCTACTGCTACTGCTACTGCCATTGTCGCCTTCCGCCGCGTTGCCCTCGGCCAGTTGTTGCTCCGCCGGCACTGTCGTATCGCCGGCCCAACGATAGTACGGCAAGTTCAGGCCGGTTCCCACCGCGACCTCCAGCACCTCACCGCGCGCCTGCAGTACGAACGTATGTAAACGGTTGCGGTAAAGAAATACCAAAACCACAGATATTACGTGCCAGACGGGGTACGAGGGGATTGCGCGCGATTGGCCGCCTCCTCCCCAAGTTGAAGATTTAGTGGCAGTAGCACTACGCACTTTGGTTTCGTAATTTTCACACTTCCCCCCTTTTCCCCCCCTGTAAACCCCACCACGGGCGTCCGCCACCACTTAGCCTCCTCTCGTCCCTCCACAAAAATTTTGCACGGAGGAAGCTATGCCGTACGGTCGCCTGCCGTACTGACGTACCTGCCCTAGCAGCTTCTTCCGCAGTTGCGGGAAGCCGAAAGCCTCGGCTGCTGCGCCGCCGTCCAGCTCGTCGTACTTGGACGAATACCTGCCGGTCCGTAAGCGGTTAGGAACTTTGACCGGATGGGATTTAGAGGCGAACAACGGAATCCCGTGCAAGCGCGGCATTTTCTTCAACCTATGCCAATCCCGGACTGCAATGCCACAGCCGGCTAGTACACCGTCGTACCCACCCAAGCCATTCCCGCTCGCAGCTAGCGGGCCATCAATGTCATTGCCCATTAATCGAAAGAGCCATCAACTCCATGCGTCTATAAACATTTAACCAGTTCTGCGCAGTGGGAGGGCTGTTGTCCGTCCCTGGCTACTGCCGCCCATTTCACTGGCCGACTGCCAATGGAGGACAGGTAAACTCGACATGGTGGAGTATAAAGACCCTACTTGTCGTATGCCTGCTGTAGCTCAAGTGCAGCCCCGCTTGTCGCCACCGCGTCGTCCGCATTGGCAATCGTCGCATCACCCGCAAGCAAGCAAGTCAACGCTAGGGCAAAGGTACAGCTCCGCGTTGAAACGGCCTTGATGATATTTCTATCAAGAACCAGCTTCCACGGAAGCTCAAGGAATGGCGCTGACCGGTCGTTCGCTTTACTTCGCAAACATATTTCCCGTTTTGTTACATGCACCTTCGTTGCGATACAACCTTTTGTACATATTTTGCCATGAAAATATAATTGGCCGTTTGGACAGCTGTTGGCGGTTCGCTTGTGCCGCCAGGCAGGTCGCTCCATCCAGCTGGCTGACATTCCTACAAACATGCAAAACGTTGGCCTCCAGCTAAAAAGGTAGAAACTTTTGTATACGTTAAGATAAGCTTAACTCCTCAGAGCGCTAACCCCTTACGAATGTCCGTTAATCGTTAACCAGATGGCCGGCCCTGGCTTGAGCACCTGACCGCGGCCCCCCGCAGCCATTTGGGTCCGTTTCAACACCTATTAGTCCCATTCACTAAGATCTCCTGTTGATATCTCGTCCAGAACTCCTGCATATCGTAGTTTGGCGGGATACCTGTACTGGTTCTGGAGCGGATTTCCGAGATACACTTTGTATTTATGGCAGGGTCTTGCCTTTTATCCTCGCTCTAATCCCAGACCTATGTAACGTATAACGAGGTGATCGCTCTGTATTCGCTGCTTAGTTTTCAGGTTATGAGCCCCGCGCAAGGATAGTGTCGCGGTCTGCCGGAACCAGCCAACTGCGGGATTGCAGTCTCAGGATAAGAGCGGCTCTGGTACATTTGAGCCTGGCTGCAGGCAGGGAGGCTACATACAGCCGGATTTGCGAAATGGCCGAACAATCGAAGCGGGTCCCGAAGTTGGAGTCGATCGCCGACTACCCGCAATGGGAGCCGAGGGCAAGAAATGCCCTGATTCTGGATGGTTATTGGGATGTAGTCAACTCTGCTCCTATTACCTCTGTCGAGAAAGGTTTAATTGCGAAGGCCGCGCTGATCATGATGGTCGGCGACAAGTTCCTTCAGGAGATTGATCAGTGCGCGACATCAGCTGCTGGATGGGCATATCTGAAGAAGATCCACAGCGAGAATCAGAAAGGGCACCAGCTACTCTACGACGCACAAATACGCAGCCTCAAGAAGGGTAACGATGAGCGCGTCGAGGATTACGTTAAGCGCACCATTCAGCTGCGTACCAAGCTCAAGGATTCGGGTTTCGACTACCCGGAGAACATCACTGTCAAGCTTATGCTAGACGGCCTGCCGCCGAGTTTCCAACACTTCGTTCAACAATACACGGCGACTGGCAGCCTGGACAAGCTGACTTTTGATGGCATACTGCCACTCCTGTCACGGGAGGAGGCACGNCAAGCGAGCGAGATAACCCAAGAACGGGTAGGGGCGCTGGTAGGAAGAATGCACGCCACGGACAACGTCAACCGTCAGCGGTGGCAACCAGGTACTCAACCAACACAACAGGAGGGTTGCTGGAAGTGCGGAGCACCAGATCACATCAAGAGAAATTGCCCTCAGCTCTACCAAAACCAAGGGGGGAACCCAAGGCCCCACTTCGGTGGAGGTGGCCGCCATCCCAACAAGTTTGGATTGTTTGCAGCCGCTTTATCTGCAACTACGGAGGTGTGCGGCATCAAGGGTGTACCGCAATGGTACATTGATTCTGCGTGTGGCCTGCATCTGACTGGCTGCAAGGAGGACTTGGATGACTACGTTCGAGTGGACGATGGCCCCCAAATCCAGGCGCTCAAGGGTGCATCACTGAAGGCCGAGGGCTATGGAAGCGTGAAGCTCCTGACAAACGTTGATGGCTCTGAGTACACGTTGGAGGTCGAGCAAGTATGGTATGTCCCGGGTGCAGACTTTCGGTTGATATCAGCAAGTGAGCTTGATAAGAAGGGGTACAGTATGGAGATTCGGGATGGCCAGTTGAACCTCTATGTTACAGTAAAAGTTCCCGAGAGGATGATTAGGTTTCTGGGCGTGCGACCTTATGGCCATAGGTTTCTCAATCCTCTTGCCTTAAACAAACCTTTAGTTCACCGGATGCGGATCGCAACAGCTTCACTTGTTGCTGGCGACACATACTTGCTAGACGCCACTTGCCCTAAGTACAACAGGGCTCTGGCTGTCATGAAGGATTCAGTTGAGCTGTGGCATCGCCGTTTTGGGCACCTTGGATACCGTGGGCTAGAGCAGCTAGCTAGCGAAGGAATGGTAGACGGTTTACCGGTGACGGCAAAGCAGTTTAAGGAAGCTGCTCAGGCACAGCATAGTTGCGAGCCATGCATCACGAGCAAGCACGTGCGTGCATCGCACCCATCATCAAATCGCATCTCCGATTTTGCCCTTGAGCGAGTTCATACTGACGTGTGTGAAATGCCTGATTTTTCTTTAGGTGGTGCCAGGTATGCCGTCACCTTCTTAGATGAGTTCTCGAGTTTCAGTGTGGTGCGCACTGTGAACTCGAAGGACCAAGTTGCGCAAGTTGTTAAGGATGCGTTATTGCTTTTAGAAAATCAAACCGGTAGGCGCGTGCGCGAAATTGTCTCTGACCGTGGTCGTGAATACGTCAACGTAAAGTTACGTGCTTTCTTTGCCGAAAGAGGGATTAGGCACAATATTTCAGCTCCGTATACACCGGAGCAGAATGGTCGTGCGGAACGTTTGAACCGTACCCTTTTGGAAAAGGTACGTGCCATGTTACAGGAATCCGGTCTAGGTAATGAGTTCTGGGCTGAGGCTTTCCGTACGGCCAACGCTGTACGCAACTGCTCTCCAGTCAGCAACAAGAACGCTACTCCACATA